TAGCAGCATTTGAAGGGCTGCCCCAAAGAAGAGGGGGGAACAAATTATTCTCCAAAGCACCAGAAGGCAAGAGAAGAAACGATGGATGGAAACTGATCAAGGAGAGAAGCAATTGGAATTGAGCAGAAACTTCCTAACAGGGAGGACAATTAACCAGTGGAACAGCTGGCCACCAGAAGTTGTGGTTGCTCCATCGCCGGAGGTTTTTAAGAAGAGACTGGACAGCCACTTGTCTGAATTGGTATAACATCTCCTGCCTTGAACAGTGGGTTAGACTAGATGACCTCCAAAGTCCCTTCCAGCTCTATTCTGATTCTGATTTTTAAAACAAGGGGGGCAGATGGACACCATCAAAGCTGACCCCCGGCCAAAGCATAGAACAACTCAAAGAAGCTGGGCAAAATTGGAAGGTATGGAGAGAATCTGGCCCAGACAATTGGCAAGAGTTGGACACGCTAAATGGATAACATCACGATCATCATCAGTTGCTTGGAGATCCTCGCTAAGTACCTGTTTATCCCGGTTTAAAACTTGTTTAACGGCCTCTTAAAACAAGGTCCCCAAAGGAGCAGGATGTAAATGGGAAGAAAAACTGCTGGATGGAGCCCAAATGTCATCAAAAAACCACAACAAAGAAGGTTCTTCCTGTGCCAACTCAGAAAGCTCAAACTGCCCAAGGAGCTGCTGATCCAGTTCTACAGAGGAATCATTGAGTCTGTCATCTGCACCTCTATCACTGTCTGGTTTGGTTCTGAAACTCTACAGGACAGACACAGACTTCGGAGAGTAATTAGGACTGCAGGAAATAGCAATTACTTCCAACCTGCCTTCCATCGAGGACCTGTATACTGCAGGAGTCAAAAAGAGGGCTGTGAAAATATGTACAGATCCCTCACAACCTGGACATAAACTGTTCCAACTCCTTCCCTCAAAACGACGCTACAGAGCCCTGCACACCAGGACAACTAGACGCAAGGACAGTTTTCCCCCAAATGCCACCACTCTGCTAAACAAATAATTTCCTCAACACCGTCCAGCTATTTACTAAGTTTGCATTACTATTACTATTAATCTTCTCATCACTCCTTATCACCCATCCCCTCCCACTTGTGACTGCATGACAGCGCTTGTATCCTTACAATCTATATTGACTGTTTCCTAGTATGGTTTAATTGCTATTGTACCCTATGCTATTATTAAGTGTTGCACCTTCTTGACGTTTGACGAATGTCTCTTTTCTTTTATGTCCACTGAGAGCATTTGCACCAAGACAAATTCCTTGTGTGTCCAACCACACTTGGCTAATAAAGAATTCTATGTGCCAGCTAACCCAGGACCCCGTTTGAGGCACAAAATTCAAGGATTAGAAGGCAAGCCAAGGTGGAAGATTTAGTTAGCTTCCTAATTTGACCCATTGTTTCCTCTACCTTGATCGGTTGCCTGATCCCCTTTAAAGCTGGTTTAATTTGAAGCACAGTTCAAGGCCAGTGGCAGACCTCCCCGTCTCTTCTGGCTCTCCTACATTTTGGGTGGGACGTGAAATGTTGAAGAAGGCTGGCCGGGAGGGGAAGCCTCGGCCTGTGTAAGAGATACTCCAACAAACCTCCAAATTAGGAGAGCCAACCTCGGCTGGCAGATTGCAGTCCTGGGCATGTTTTCTTTTCGCAACCTCCCACCCCGCTATGTCTGGCCCAGGTTTGAACAGACGTGCCGGGGCTCACACGAAGACTGGATGGATGAACTCATCAGCCTGGCCTCCCTGCGGAAGCCCTACCATGGGACATCACCTGACACGAAGACATTTCAGCTGTTCCGATGTTTGGCCCTTGTAGGGCTTGGAGACTTCTGCAGATTCCTGCGCTGTGGCCAGGGGCGGGACTCAAAAATCCCCGCAACCGGTTCGCTGCCTGGTTGCTGGGTGGGCATGGCCATGGTGGGCGTTGTTAACTAAAAAACATTTCTTTAGTCTTTTTAGTTGCCAGGAGAAAGGGAGTGGGGGAAAGCAGTGCATTCCTTAAATGCTTCAGATAATCGCTTTGGCAACCGAAGCTTCTGGCACTCAAAATTATTACTGGAGAGCATGATTGATGACTCTTGGCTATAGATGTGTCCCATTGGAGAATATACATCCAGGGGGTGAGGGGAAGTCCAGGATCAAGGGGGAAATGAATGATGTGTCAGAGTCAGCTGCAACCAGGAAACGTCAACATGTCAACTCCTAATAAATCAATCTTTTTCACTCTGAGAGATGCGGCTAGAGACTTATGATTTGAATGTGAGTGCCTGTTGGAGCCCTGACAGCCAGCTGACTCTGAGAGTGGCCTAGTCGAACTTCTGGGAAGGCCGTTTTTTGCCTTTCCCAGAATCCGGAGGCTTCCCTCGGGCCTCTGGGAGGGCAAAAACGGCCTGCCCCGGGCCCTGGAAGCCGGAAGCAGGCCCATTTCCAGACTTCCGGGAGCCTCATTTTTTCCTCCTCCCAGAGCTCCCGCGCAGACCCTGCACTTACCTGCATGGAAAATAGGCCACATGGAGACTCCTGGGAAGGGGGAGAGGGGAGGGGGCTAAGGTCAGCCAAGTAGGTTCAAATACTGGTTCAGTGAACCAGAGGCAAACTTAACATCAAAACTCAACATAACTTAACCGGTAGAATCCCACGCCTGGTTGTGGCTGATCTAAGGCATCGGGTGCAATCCTCTAACGCAGAGCCTTTGCAAGGGGGCTGAACTGGCCACGATCTACAACATCCATGGTTGTCAACTTTGTTGACCCAAAGGTGATTTTTTTTTCTAAGTGGCAACGAGGCTTCCTTGTTCTTTCTTTGAAAATGTTTTCGCTTCTGATCCCCGAAGCTTCTTCAGCTCTGACTGGATGATGGTGGGGAAAGGAAGGATTTATACTCCTTGCAGACAGCTGGTCATTGGCATCCTTTTATGCCCAGATAAACCTCCAAGTGGCCTCAATGGCTCCCTAAAAAGGATGCCAATGACCAGCTGTCTGCAAGGAGTATAAATCCTTCCCCACCATCCAGTCAGAGCTGAAGAAGCTTCTGGGATGAGAAGTGAAACATCTTCAGAGATGTGAAATCTCAATACCCCATTCAGATGTATGATAACATATTGCAGTACAATCCGTCTCTTGTGTATTATACTCGGCTAAGCGTTACAGTCAGTGTTGGATGTATATTTTGTGTATATTTGTAGATATTGTACTCTCAAATTGGAAATGGAGACACGGGTACTCTGTTTTTCCTATCTTCATTTTTAAGTGCTTTGGTTTTATTGTATGGGGAACAGTTGCTGGGGTTCATACACAGTTCCGTTGTGCTTGTACAATGACAATAAAGTTCTTCTTCTAATTCTAATTCTAAAAACAAACAAAGTCCAGTTGCCTCTTGGGAAAAAAAGCACCTTTGGAACAACCACGACCTGGAGGACGGAGCATCTCCCTAGAGACTCAGCTCTGTAGACTTTTAAGGTGTTTGGGTTGCGACTGCCCCGGAATTCCCCAGCCAGCCCAAAGAAGTTAGAAACCATAAAGGAAGAAAAAGGATGCAGGGATGGTGGCATTAGCTTTAGAAAGAGAAAGAGAAATAAATAGGAATAGGAATAGGAATGGAATAGAATAGAATTAGAATAGAATAGAATAAAATAAAATAGAAATGGAAAGAATAGAACAGAACAGAATAGGAATGAATGAAAAGGAATGAATAGACTAGGAATAGAATAGAATATGAATATAGAATGGAATAGAATATGGAATGGAATAGAATAGAATAGAATAGAATAGAATAGAATAGAATAGAATAGA